GCTCATTTTATTTAATGCATTAATTTTAACGAATGGGACATTATTGTAAGTGTCACCATGTTATTTAATTGACCTGAGCTAATATGAACTAATTATGAACTGTATTTTTATTAACTAACCTTAAAAAAAAAGAATAAATACTGTAACATAAGTATTGCTCATTGTTAGTTGATGTTAGGTAATGCATTAAACTAATGGGACCTTATTGTAAAGTGTTACCAGTCGTTTATTCAAATCGTTGAACTCTAATGATAATGATGACTTAATGAGGTCTTTAAAAGCATTTTATACTGTACGTTGTTTGTAATGTTAACCCAGAGTAATCCATCTTACTACATTAGAACATGATCTTGCACATTTCTATTCATAATTCACACTTCAAGCACCTTACGATTAGCTATTTTTGGGTATATTTGCATCACGTCCCATTAACGCATCATATGTCAGAGATTTCCCTTCCTCTGCTTCACTACATCTGTGAAGTGAGTATATTATCTGTGAATATGAAGTCATCCTTCATGCTGAGCTGGGCTGTGAATGTGGATAATTCAGATCTGTATGCCGTTGTCTGGCAGGAACATGGGACTCGGCTAATCTTTAAGCTGCTGATGATCAGAATCAGTCTCTCAGTGTGACGTCTTTGTCCCGTTCCCAGGTGTATCAGCTTTATGGACGCACTCGCTTCCCGTTGTTTTGTTGTCAGCCTGCGTGGAGGTCCTGCTGCTGTTTTCAAAATCAGATCCGGGATCTGGTTGAGACTGATGTAGGACAAGTGGTTAGGTTTGGGCGGGTTAGCATGACCTAGTTATCCTCTCATGGTAGAAACTGGAACAAGTGGAAACTTTCAAAGGAATATTCAAGGTTCAATGCAAGTTAATCTCAATTGATAGCACTTGTGGGATAATGGTGATTTACTCAAATGACTCTAATTTCAACTTGACCCTGGTGAGGCACTTACAATGGAACTGAATTGGGTCCAATACTGTAATAGTAGGCACAAGAAGTTACTATATATATATATACATTTTAGGGCTGCTCCTTAAAGGAAGACTCCACTATTTTTGAAAATAGGCAAATTTTCCAGCTCCCCTAGAGTTAAACAGTCGAGTTTTACCGTTTTCGAATCCAT